GACCAGAACACATCCTCTCCAGCAACCAACACCCAGATAAGCAGGGATTAATACCAGACAATCAAGCAGAAAACAATGCCCTAATCAAGGAACTACCAAGGAGAAAGCCACACCCTCACCAACTCTGGCAGGGCAAGCTACTGTATATAAACAGGGAGCAAACCCCACACCCACTTGCACTGATGATGTTACCTAGTTGGGTAATGAAATGCCTGCAATCAAACAACAAAGCTCAGAGAACACTAAGGACTCCACAGTTCAACCTTGAGCTACATATATGCTCTTTTATTGGCATCTTAATTATGCTACCCTTTTAATTCCCACAGTGTTCCCCAGCAATGCTAGTTAGAAATACTGTGGAAAATCATTGAAAAAGTTAACAAAACCTAGCCTGGAGGACCTGACCCATAATACAATAAATCCAACTAGGTAGTGGGATTGTGATATTGGAATAAACTTGCCAAATGATGACTACAGCTCAATTTCTAGGTAGCAAGAGTTGTGTCTATGTTGGTACACTATGTAGTCCTCCTTCAATTTAAACTGTATGGTTGTAGTTTGCTAACTTTTCCCAGCATAATATTGCAATATTGTAGCCTTACAGATTCCCATAGATTATGCCTTAGCTGCCAAAAACAAAAGCTAAATTTGATTGTACATATTATTTTATGGCCATTTATGTTGCATGAATGTTTGTAGAGGTTTCTAACTGTGCTACCATAGGTGACAAATTAGTCTATTGCCATCATCGTACTTTGTATCAGGACAGTTTGTTTGGTACGAATATGAATTTGGCTGGCTTAGTCTTTGAGTACCTTTCAGGGACACAGACAAGAAAGCAGGTGGTACAAGCACACAAGCAATATTTGATTTAATTTACTGGATTCTTCCGTTTAATCTCAATAAAAATTACAGGTTAGAAGCAAATTTGGGAGGGTCTCTGAAATCTATACCAAAGGCTTTTGGAAACACATGTGGCTGAAGCCTTATGTATTCTGTCTTTTCATTATCTGCTTGCATATTTGCAAGCAAAGGAAATATTACAAAGATGCTATGCATTTTTAGTGTGCTCAATATCACTTCTAGGAGGACTACTTCTGGAACTTCACACAGTATGGAAAAGAATGTAAAACAGAATGGCTAATCGGATACATTTGGGAATCTCAGAAGCTTGGATAAGAGGGCTGCACAAAATACTGATTGTTTCACGTCAACCAATAATTAAGCATGCTGCCCATGATTCACCAAATATTAAACAGTAGGGCAGGGCATGCTTCAAAATGATTGGGAAGAAGTGATTTGGAACTCCTGTGAATGCAATACAATACTTTTCTGCTACTAATTAAAACACTCATCATGGGAGGGGGGCTTCTACACCTATGTATACTTCAAAACATACTTCTGAATAGTTTTTGAAGTATATGTAGCCCTTGATAGCATGATTGTCCATGAACCTTCCCCATTTCCTTTTAAAACCATCCAAATGAGATCTTATTACCACAGTTGCTAGCAGCAAATTCCACCACTTAGTTTGAAAAAAATGTCTACTTCTATGGAACATACTGTATGTAATAGAACTATTTTTATCTAATTGGGGAAATAAATGGCTTTACATTATATGAACACAGAGGGATATGATTTCCTGCAGCATGAGACAATCCAGACAGTTAGTAGTAATATATACATTCATTTGCAACCATCACAAAATTCATATAAAATTACAACAATCTATATCAGTTCAATGCATCCCCTCTAAAATTAACAGCACTATTTGTCAGCATCTGTTTTTGTATCTTCCTTGTGGTCATTGCAAACAATGCAACTTGTTTTGTTACATATTCAGATAGTTGGAGCAGGATCCTGTGAGGGTCTTCCAGTGAGTTCTAAAAGAGTGCTAAAAATGTGTCCATGTGGCTTTGTCATTTATCTTGTTTAGAGATGATTTATTAGTATTACAGTTCTACTGATTTAATTTAAGGCAAGGGTCCTTTTATTTCAGAATAGCCCAGTTCTAACAAATTGCATGGAACACAGAGAATTATAAAGGTGGTAGGGATTTGAAAGTCAGTGGAACAGAGGTACTAAAAGGGTCCTGCAGATTTAAGATTAAGCATAGACAACAGATTGATCTAAAGAAACAGCTCTTCAGACACAACCATCATATGCTTCCTCCCAATGCTCCCATTTTTGCAACAAAATCTTTGGTATCTCAATTACCAAAGGGGGCAATTTGAAACAACTAAAACTGTAAATCTAATTACATGAACATCTATCCATGGTGAATTCCCCTGAGACATTAGGCTATATAAGCAAGGTTAGCTAATCAATCTCAGGTGGTAATGTAGTTTCCATTATTAAGTGCATGCAGGATTCAAAGCAGATGTTGGAATTGAAAGCCTATTTATTCCATAATTGATAAGCCTTGTTTCCCACCCATCTTGGCCATTTTTTAAAAAAGAAGAAATCTGCTGCTTAAGATAATTATTTCTATATATAATAATGGCTCTCCAGTTGAGGGTACTCTGAAAGCTTTGTTCTGACCAACATTTATTAAACATTGATAACAAATCAGAAAGTGACTGGTACTGTTATATTGAAGGTCAGTGGTAGTGTCATTCACTGAGGTCAGAGCTTGCCATTGTGGCCATTAAATACTCAAACTTTTGAGTGAGTTTGCCAATTTTTCCAACATCATGTTCTACCAGTTCAAGAAATCTAGCCTTGGAGAAAGTTCTTAACCTTCTTCTCTTCCCACAATCTCACCCCCAACCCCTACTGCTTTCACTTTTGTGATCTACTTCTCTCTCTTTTTAAATTTAGTTGTGAAGTCTGCTGATTCTCAGTAAGCTGAAGAAGAATTTGAATGAACAGACTACCAGAAAACCATAGCAAATTGAAAAAG